CATCACATTTCACAGAAGAGAAATTTGAATAATTGAAAGACTATCTAGTATTAAACTCATATTTACATTTACAAATCAAGAGATATGTAGAGATCACATTGCCAAAATCTTTTGACAAACATTGTTAAAACTAGATCACATTCAAAGTAGCACATGAGATCATTTTTTTTAGGTATAGCTAATTAACTTATTACTGGATACAATTACATGAAGAGACAGAATACATTAACATAAATACACATGCTATTTCAAATGCAATTCTAAATGGAAAGTGAAGGTACTTTCTCGTCGAAAGAATCATGCCATTAACTACCATGATGTAACATTCTGCATGTAAAAGTATTTTAGAAATAACTTACTCAATGTTTCGAATGTACACTCTAACAACTTTTAGACTTAAACATATTTATGTGGAAAATATAAAATCTTACTCTTTTACAAAATCACCGAAGGCGGTATGTTTTTAACAAATTAAAAATTACGTACTTGCATAAAAAGAACAGCAACGCCGGCACTATCATTCTGACAAATTATTTATACAAAGTCTGGGTAAAATACACTGCTTAAAATTCTTTTTTTAAATATCAGCTGAATATGATATCTTACGCTAAAACATATGATTACAACTATTGCTCTGACTCTTTCTTCCACATTAAAAGCCTAATTTTGTACTTTCATTCCAATTATTATTATCAACGGATTGACTTGATAATTTCCTCTGCCTATCGTCAACTTCTTTGACCTTAGTCTTAGCTTAACAGCAGAACACAAAATGTAGCGTTCTTGCACTGAGCAAGCAGCTCAGCTTGTCAAACTGATCCAAATAAGATACATCAGTAGTATTCGTACTCTGCCACATCCATGGCCATGTCTTCCTCGACGCTCTCTGCCTGAGCCTCGGCGAGGTCCTTGTTGACAGGTGACGTCTTCTCCTCGGGGACGTAACCCTGAGCCTGTCTGGCACGGTAGTGGAGCTCCATAACGGAGGGGTTGTCGTCGTCCAAGATGCGCGGTGGAGCAACGTCCCCATCATCCTCGTACTCCTCTTCGTACTCGTCGCCGGCATCCGCACCTAAGTCTTCTCCGTCACCCTCCTCCTCGTCCTCACTGCAAGCAAAATAGACACATGTTAATAATCATTTCCGTCACGGAGGCTCAGTACAAAACGCGTCAGCAAAATAACGGGAAATGAAGTTAACTTACGCCTCGTCGTAGTCCTCGTCGCCCATGTAGTCCTTGTCCTCTTCGTAGTCGTACTCCTCATCCAGGTCGGCGTCGACCTCGGCAGCCAGGGCGCCTATCGAACGCTTGGGTCTCTCGGCAGCCTGAACATCGGTTAAAATGGTTTTGCTTTAGACTCGCCATTCCACAACTGGTGACGCGTTATTCATAAGGGACAAGGGACTCACCTCAGGCTTAACGTGATGCTTGTGTTGCTTGGGCTTCCGGACGTGCTTCTTGGCTGGATTGGTCTTGTCGTCCTGATTGGGCGGATGGGTCTTATTGGTGTCCTGCTTGGGCGGGTGAGTCTTGTTGGCGTCCTGCTTAGCCGGGTGGGCCTTGTTGGCGTGCTTGTGGCCTCGCTTGGAGTGCTTCTTGGTGCGCCGGCGACGGGTGGGTTGGCGGGCCGGCCGACGCGCCGGACGTTTGCTCGACGCCGTGGTGCTGCGGCGCGCGAGGCCGCCCTCGCGGTGCTCCCCGCGCCACTTCTTGAAGTGCGGGTAGCGCGCCGTGTCCCTGCGCGCCCGCGCGGGGCCCGATGCTCCTACGGCCCGGGCCAACTCCTCCACCTCGGGCCAGATGGGGCCGAAGATGTACTTGAGGCGGGTGACGTCCTCGTCGGACAGGTGCCCCATGTGCAGCTGCCTCACCACGAGTGGGGCCATCCGGCGCAACATCTGACCTTCAAAGGTGTCGCCGCCGTAGCGGGGCGTGTTGACGACGGGCTTCGGCGTGGTCGTCAGGCGGACGGTGGCTTGGTAGCTGGACCCGAACCCGACGTCGTTGCTCTCCTCGTCGTCCTCGTCGTCGTCCTCGAGCGGCATGTCCCCGCGCCTCTGGGTCTCCTGCTTGGGCGGGGCGGGAGTCTCCCGCACCAGGGACGCTATCTCCAGCCCCTTGGTGTCGCTGGAGGCCGGCGGCAGGAGCGGCAGCCTCGGCCTGGCCGCGTCCGCGAAGTAGTCGCCGTCGTACTCGTCCGACCTGGTGTCGTAGTCTGGGATATAGCCGTCGGCGGGGGAGCCGCCCAGGGAGGTGCCATCCTCGAAGGCAACGCCGTCATAGTAGTTGAAGTCCTGGACGGGGGCGGACGTTGGGACGGTCTCCTTAGGCACGACCTGGGGGTTCGTTACCACGGTGGCGGCCTGCGGCGAGTAGGCCGCGGTGCTGTCCGTTGAGACTGGGGTGGTAGAGACGAGCTCCTCGGTGACGGTGGGGGACTCCGTCACGATGACGGTGGCCGTGTAGGCGTCGCCTCCAAGCGGAGGCGAAATGTAGTCCAGCCCAGTGCTACCCTCGGTCAGAGGCGTCGAAGGGCCCTCTGTGAAAACGGTCGAAATTGTTTCTTCTGGGCCGGGCTGGGTCGAAAAGGTCGTCCAGAAAGTCTCCGCAGAAGCCACAGTGTACACTTCCGAAGACAAGGTTGACAAGTCGCTCGGCGACGCGGTGGTGTAGTCCGCTACTGTGGATGCGCCTTCCAGGTTGTAAGGCTGCGCTGATGTGAGAGCGGCTGGGGTGGCGGTCTCCGCGGTCAAGGAGGCGGGGAAATCTGTCGCCGTGAAGGCTTCTGTCCAAGTTGTTTCATGGCCGGTGCTGGTCGTGAGCGCCTCAACGGTGTGCGTCGTCTGCTCAACCGGAGCCGTGTAGGGCCCCGCTGTAGTGTAGTCCTGTGACGGGAGCGTCGTCGGGGTGGTGACCTCGATTGGGTCCGAGTGCACCTCGGTCGAAGATGTGGTTGATGGAACTTCTTCTGTAGCAGTCGTAAACCCTACCGCCGAATAGGTCGAGTAGAGCTCTGCCGGGGTGGTAGGGAAGACATCCGTCGACGGGGCAGAGGTGGTCGAAAACGCCTCTGTCGAGGCAGAGGTGGTCGATAGGGCCTCTGTCGTGAAAATCCAGGAAACCTCTGAAGTTGCAGAGGTGGTTGAGAGAGTGAATGAGGCGTCTGAATTGGCGTCCGTTGTGACCGCGTAGGGCACCGCCTCTGCGGTGGTGGTCTCTTGAGACGGTGGGATGGTGGTGTCCATGGCCTCCACGGCTAGTGGACTGAAGGCTTCGGTTGTCGGTTCAGCGGTAGTGCTCTCCGTCACGTCAGGCTTGCCTCTTCGATTAATCTCTATCTCGATTGTATCCAGGATTTCAGTAGTCGCCGCAGTTGGGTCGGCGGTCACAAACGGTGTCAGGTGTGCATGAGTGGTCGAAGTCACATCTGCGTCCTCGGGCGCAGGAGGACCCGTTATCAGTGGCTGCTCGCTTGTCACAGCGGTGATATCTTCATTTACGGGTTGAGCGGTCGTCACAACGGGCTCGTTCGTCACAACGGTGGTGCCTTCATACACGGGTTGAGCCGTTGTCACAACGGGCTCGTTCGTCACAGCGACGGTGTCTTCATACACAGGGGTGGTCGACTGGTACCCAGAACTATCCGTGGTCACAATGGTTTCATACTCGGACACAGGATTAGTCGCCTCAATTGCTTCCGTCACAGTGACAGTTTCTTTATGGAAAAGGTATCCCGTTGTTGTAGAGATGTCACTATTTTCGCTGTTGTCCGAAGCTGGTTGAATCGTGGTCACGCCATGAGTGACAAGGTCCGAAGGAGTCTCGGCATTCGTCACAGAATCAGTGCTCGTCACATGGGCGTGGGCAGACGATTGCTGAGTGGTGGTTTGGGTGACGGCATGCGTCAGGTAGTCCGGGGCCACAGACGACTCGACAGAGTCAAAGACGATGTTGTCGGCTGCAGGGTGTACGAAAACAGTGGTCAGACTCGTCTTCGCCGTCGACGTGACGGTGTAGTCGGTGACGTGGGGGACCGCTGTGGTGGTCTCCACGTAGGGGGCAAAGGTTGAAGTGTCTCCCAGCTGCTCGGACGCAGTCGAAACTACCTCGCTCGTGGTTGGCGAAGTCGGCACAATGGTCGAGTACTGGGTGGTGGCCGCCTCGTCCCTCGTGGAGGTGCTGTCCGTGGACGCGGTGGTCCAGAAGTCCGTCAAGGGGGCGAGCGTCGCGGCGCCGAGGGGGCGCACAGTCAGCTCCGGCTCGGTGCTGGTCTTGGGTTCATTGGTGGTGGCTGTGACGTCCGACCAAGGAGAGAGCGTCGCGGCGGCAGCGGCGGGGCGCGCGATCGGGTCCAACACGGTGCTGGTCTCGGGTGCAAGGGTGGTGGTGGTGACGTCACGTAGCGGGCCTCCTTCTGTATTCCGGTCCGGCGGCGCGCCAGCTGCAGGGCCAGCTGCCGCACCTGTTGCAGCCTCCTCCGCCCCGGCCGGCTGGTCTCCACGCAGTGGGACCACCCCCACTGCGGCGGGGAACGGCGAAGACGGCCACGACGGTCTGAGAAAATAGCAGAGGGGTTGAAATTAGTCGCACTCTTGGGGATGAATTTGAATTGCCCGCTTGCGAACCTCACTGTCGGTTTACTTACGAAGTGGTCGTGATGGTGTTGGGGCGGCCAGAGGTCATGGGGATGCGGCTGGTGGCCGGGCGGCGGATCACCAGGTTGGGGCGTGCGCCGCTCTGCACCGTCTCCACCATGTCGTACAGCGGGGTGCCGCCCGTCACCAGGCGCACCCACTGCGGCGTGGGCGTCAGGGCGGCCGCCGCGGCCTCCGGGCTGGGCGTCGGCGCCGCCGACGCAGGCACCCAGTCGTACCGGGTGGGCCGGCGGCTGGCGACGTGGCTCGAAGACGGCGCCAAGGATATCACGACAAAGTCACTGGCAATGAGAAAATTCAAGGCGTAAGTACGGACGGACAGGGCGCAGGCGGGCAAACATTACAATTCAATTAAAAATTATAACAACATTATTGCAATTATCTTTTTAATTTTATAAAGTTACTCCACTTACTTGTTGGGTCGCCGTTCGTGGACGGGCGTGACGAGCGGCGGGAGCGCCCAGACGGGCGTCGCCCGGGGCGGCGGCAGCTCCCAGACGGGCGGCGTCGCTCGCAGGGGCGCCGAGGAGAGGGGGCGCGAGAACGCTCCCCAGGGCGACGCGGGCGCCGAGATCAGCGAGACGGGGCGTCGCGGCGTCAGCGACGCGTACCACGGCCAGTGCGTTAGACGCAAGACTGAGCCGGGTAGGGACCGCCCGCCGCGGGCTGCGAGGTTACTCGCGGAAAATGCTGCAAAAAAAAACAAAACGGGTAACAATTTTAATTGAACATTGAAAAGCAACCCCTTTTTATTTTCCGAACAACTTTACTGTAACCAAAAGGAATGCGCTGGCCGGGAATCGAACCCGGAACAACTGCTTGGAAGGCAACTATGCTAACCATTACACCACCAGCGCTTCTTAACGGAGCCCTTTCCTAATTGAATGTATTGCTGCTGCTGCTGCTGCTGCTGCTGGTAAGGCAGCTCGGCAAGAAGGTAAGGGGAAAAAGAGATGCGCTGGCCGGGAATCGAACCCGGAACAACTGCTTGGAAGGCAACTATGCTAACCATTACACCACCAGCGCTTCTTGCTGAGTGGGCCATCCCGACTGGACAAGGTCAGACTGCCGTGCCGTTAAACGAGCGCGGAAATCCTCCGCGTTACGAAAATGAATGCGCTGGCCGGGAATCGAACCCGGAACAACTGCTTGGAAGGCAACTATGCTAACCATTACACCACCAGCGCATCTTGTTGGCAGGCACCGTCGCGCCCAGCCAGATGCGGCAGCAGTACCTCCTCCCCCCCTCCTCTTCCCCCCCAGCAGCTGATCGAGTGGAGGGGGAACCCGGGTAACGACCACGAGTGGCGGCGTGGCGTGGCGTAGCACACCCGACGCGCCGCGCCAGCCGCGCCGTGGCGAGGCGCAGCGGAGCTCGCGCCCAATCGGCAGGAAAGCGGGAACATCTTCAAACTTTTCAAAACTAACTTTGCGCTCGCGACCTGGCCGCCGCCGATGCCGCCGACATTAGCGCGGTCTAGTTCGGCGCGCGCGGCTTTCAAATTCGGGAGGCGGGCGGGCGAGGTTGTCGGTTAGCTCCGCTGTCATGACGGAGTGCGAGGAGCAAGTGCGAGGGGAGCGCTGGCGGGGGCCGGAATACTTTGCCGAACTTCCCCCCCTCCCCCTCCCCCAAATCACCAGCAGCTCAAACTTCATCAAGTTTAGCTGATTCTGACAAGCCCCGCGCTATTAAGGACGCGATGGTCGTTTAAATTTCTATGAGTGGCTCGGTGGGCGTTGAGGGGGGGGGGTAATTTCATTAGAGTGAGGTTAGGAGGGTGAGGACCTCCGCTGCTGGCCACCGCTCGGCCGGACCGCCTGGTGCCGCCGCACCCCGCGCACCACAAGAGGGCCCTGGTCGCGCACGTCCTGTGTCTTCTAAAGCGCTCCCGTGACGTGACGTACGCCAAACGAAGTGATGACGGACTAAGATATTCACGGGGAATGCTGTCCCAGTCTGTGCTGCACTAAGCACTAAGCGCGCGGCGGGGCGGGGCTCCCCCGAGACGAAATTCCGTCTTTAATTTTAAGCGCGCTCGGGGCAGGTCGCGCGTTATCGACAGATCTGGCAGCCCCGGCCCCGGCGGCCACACAAGAGGAGGGTACGTGCCTCTCTGTCGCTCGCATTGCGTCGCATGGCGCCGTGTCGCCTCCGGGGACGGATGGGGGCGGAGAGAGGAGGCGGAGACGGAGCACCTTGGGATTACACATTTCCATAACAAATCCCCATCCCCGTTTAGTCACTCCAGCGGCAGAAGCCGTGAGAGGGGACAGCTTTAAAAAGGCCTCGGCTACCCACAAGGGAATGCCCATACCCCCTCCCTGGAAGATTTATTTTCTGTGCCGTGATCTAAAATTCGTAAAGGCGAATTTCCAGGAAAGAGGAAGAGCTGGGGAGAGCAGCAGGGCGCCAGGGAGCGAGCGCGAGGGTCAGTTATTGTTCCAAGAACGGCCGCGGAACTGGTTTCCAGCCAAGCCCCGTCGCTTCCCATCCCGGCCCCGATCCGACAACCTAACGACTTCTTCCGGCCGCAGTGTGAGGGGATGTGAAGGGGGGCAGTAAGCAGCACAGGCGCCGGCGCCTGCCCTGCTGACCAGGTCATGTGGCTTGACCCGGTCACAAGGTCGCGGCGCGAGGTCACCCCACGGGCAGGCCGCGACAGGACATCCCTTCCCTCCTCGCACACAAACAAGGGTGTCAACCGACGGAGCGACGACACAAAACAAAACAACAATAACGTAACATGGATGCGAGTCTCTGCTGAGGCAAGCGACGTACGTAGTACTCGCGAACGATGACAACCCCGAAAACAAAACGGTAAAATAAAATACTCACTTGTAGCAGGGTAGCTGCACGTCGCTCTCAGAAGGAACAGCAAGACGATGGCGTACTTGCAGGACGCCATCATCGCCATCGTCATGTTCTTTTTGTTTTTGTTATTGTATCCGATAACAGCACACACGCACACACATGCACACAGATTCTTCCAATCTGTTGTCGTCAAAGGTCGTCCTTTATCGTTGACATGGCGCCTCACGAAATATCCACACGAGCACTGTCACACAGGGCGGGGACGGGAATGGCAGCAGCACGGCTTTGCCGTGGCTTTGGCACACTGCGCGCGGCCCGAGCAGACTACTCCACTCCACAACAAACACCACAGCCTTCACAAACACAAGTCCGGTCCTGTCCCGCTGCTCTCCGCCACGCTCCGCTCGGCTCCGCTCGCACCTTACGACTGACTCAAACTGCATGCACCGGCAGACCAGAAAACCCCCTTCGCCGAACAGAGAGCGCGCGGCCCGGAGGGCAGCGCTACCGTTTGGTTTTTGGCTTTTCCAGGTCCACGCCGCGTCCGAAGCGAAGCAGCGCCTTTCCCTCTCCCACACACGACGCGGAGCGGCAGGCAGTGAAGGGGATGAGCAGCACGCGAGCACCCCGGAGAC